GGATCTGCGGCGTCGTGGTTGCACTGGGACTGGATTCTTGATTTTTTGGTTGCACCTGGGCAGCTGGCACGGCAACTAGAACGTAAATCGCCCTGACTTGATGGTTCTCTGTTGTCGGCACGTTGCTCTGGCATGGACTCTGGGTCGGTGGGGACAGCGACTCGGGAACGGTGGTCCTCTCTGGCCTTGTTCTCTCTGGGCTGAGTGTCTGTGGTCTCGTTTGGGTTTGTTACCAGGGCCATGTTGTGGCCTAGGTCTCTGGACTCGCTGTTGGCTCGGCTTTGGCTGCTGCAGGAGAGCTGACGATCGCTCTGACCTAATGGCTCTGCGTCTGCTGCGGTGGACCTTGGCTTAGGCTGTCTGCGGCTTGGACCTGGCTGTGGTGGCTCGACCGGGAGCGGTATGTCACCTTGACATTGTTGCTCTCTGGTAGCTGGCTGGTCTGGTTGTGGAGGTTGTAGTTGGTGGTTGTCCCCTGGGACTGGATCGTCATCCTCGGACTCGTCGCTTAGTTCGACGTCATCATTGCCCTGGGGCGCTGGTCGGAGGTCGTATATGTGGTGGAGTTGAGTTCGAGCGCCGTGTCGCCCGATTTTGTAGGTAACATCTCCCAAACGTCGTAGTACTCTGCCGGGGCCAGTCTAGACCGGGGCGAAAGCTTCTCGATTTGTTGGATGAGACCTCACCACGACTCGTGCGCTGACCTGGAATTCGGTGGATATTTGGGCGTCTGGTTTGTAGATCTTGGATGACAGCTCGTTCTGGTCATTGTTGTTGCTGTCTTGTCCGGAGTACGGATAATGCTTGGGGCAGATGTTGATCCCATCTCCGGCGTTGGTGTCCACGCATTAAAGCGCGAAGAACGTTGCCGGACACTTCGTGGTTCCGCCGCACAAGGTGTAGCGGGGTGTCGGCCTTGTTTGCGGCTGTAGCACGTTGCGTATGTCTGCCGTAAACGCACCAATGAGACGTTGTTCGCCTGTGGGTGGTTCCTGCCTTGGAGTGGAACGTTGTGCCGGTCCAAAAGACAATTAACTGTCTATTTCTGAATGTCTTTGTTGAATTGGTGGTGCATATCTATTTTCCATATCGATACCTGGTTGTGAGGTCCTTGTGGGCGCACTTGTCCACTCGGGGCCCTTAGTTGGGCGCCATGTCTACGCCTCCGTTTCCTAGTAGATTCTTGATACCCGATTTTTTCGAAGCCACGGCTAGTAAGACTCCTGGGGAGACGTAGAACTTCGTGTTGCTTTTTTTTTGTAAAAAAAATTCACAGAAACTTTCGGAAATGGTTTGATATGAAAATAATAGTCTGATTTACCGTGGTCCGAGAGTCAGTAGTCGATTCGTATTTATGTGACTGTCACTATCTTAATTTTATTGATGACTGATGACAGCGATGTCGCTGTGTTTTCGCTGTCTTCGATGATTTTGTATTTATTTTAAATTAGATTTATGCAAAGTTTCGAGTCCGGTGACAATATTTATTAAAATGACGCAAAAGTACAAAATTGCTAGATGCGGTTTCTTGCGTAACGAATTAGACTCGAAGCTCACCAGGCACTGTGTCTTGGCTAAAGAGCTGCATTTGCTACCAGTTCGTGTTCGATCGCCGGCAGGGCGAATCTCGGTTGAACGACTGCGGCGTGGTTGGGTCCAGGGACCAGGGGCACCTTGATTTGGCCCGCGGCGTTGGGAATTTTCCTTGATCTCGATCGCTCGGCCGTGGTTGGCGATCTGAAATCAAAAATTCAAAAGGGAAGCGAAAATTTTATTTCCCCCGTCCTTCGTCGGCGGTTATAGGGAGGCTGCGGCGCAGGACGCGGTTATCGTCCGCTGTCACAGGAGGTGGCTACGCCGGCTTGGTGTCGTCTTTGCGGCTCGACGTTACACCACCAAAAGGTGGGTGCAAATTTTCAGAAAGTCCGCGATTTTCTTAGGCGATTCGACGGGTATGGTGGACGTTTGGGTATCTTCGTACAATATGTTGAACGTCTTGCATGTTGCAGAAGACCGTTCGTCGCGGTTGGGGAGTTTCAGGCATGTTTTCGAAACATTCGCGAATTTTCATGTTTTATGGTTCGTTGGCAGATTCGAAACATGGGCGAAATCTGAAGTATAGCTCGCTTCCATTCCTACGACATTATCTTAATTGGGGTCGCACTTGCTTTGTTGCCTAAACAACAAAAGATAACATGCAAGTGTTGTACCTAAATGGGTAAAACAGTGGTTAATAAATCAATAAGTATATGCACTTAAACGAATTACGTCTAGAACATCCCAATTACAGGAATTGTCTGCGTATGGACAAAAATACATAAACGGAATTACTCGAAGTTATTTCTCCATTACTTCAAAAAGAGGATACTATGATGAGGTTAGCAGTCGCTCTCCATGAACGACTAAGTACTACTTTGGGATATTTAGCAACAGGAAGAGACTATGAAGATTTAAAATTCTCAACTCGTATCTCTGCTCAAGCCCTGGGAAGAATAATACCAGAATCTCTCGGCCTGTACTCACACCTCAGTCATACATGTTCTGACTTGTATGCGAAAAGCATAGCCGGAAGGTAAAATTTCCAGCGCTGGTAGTTTTTCGGGAGGCCGAAAGCTCAAGGCAGGCCTTCCGGGCCAATATACTAACGTTACGGTCTGCCATCCGGTAAACTCCGGAATATAAGAATGTTTTATATACCTACGATTCACTATCTCAACATTTTTTGCTATCCTAAGCACTATCCAGTGGCGAGTAGTAAAAAAAATTAAATTAAAAATAATTATATTGTCTCAAAATCTAAGACTTTCAAAAAATTTTGTAAATCTAAAATCTAAGGTTTATATATCGAAAAAAATAGACAAAAGTTATTTGATAAGTTTGATGTTGTGTTGTTAAAATTTCGGCAGTTGTTCCTGCGGCACTCTGTATATTAATATATCCTATATAATTTTGAAGATTGTTCAACAGATAAATAACTAAAAATACGAAACTTTAAGTGCCAGGTGGGTGCAAAATCGAGTTTATATATGTTTAGATACAAGTTTTATGTAACACGAAAAAACGCTGTAGCGGTGTCGCCCTCGACATCTACATAACGCCCTGTAGTTTTTTCAAGTGCTAGTACAAAAGCAGAAATCTATTTAGCAGTATTTGCAGAGTTGAATAAGATAAGTAAATTTAAATTTTGTATTATCGAAGTTATCTTAAAAAATTATGACTAATTGTTTCAGTATGTTTCATATGTCAAAAGTATTTTATTTGTTATTTAAAAATTGGCTGTGGTAAATATTTGTATACTATGTTTCACTTGGAAGTTTTATTGATTATAAACTGTGCCACCATGTATTCCTTCATAACACAAGATGGTTTCGCTGCGGCGCAGCTATACCGTTGAAATTAAATTAATTACCGACGTCTTAACGTCAGCCAATTTCTTTCAGCTCACTGAAGCTGCAAAAATACTTAGGAAAAAATAAATTCAATTAACTAAATTGAGAAAGACAGTAAATCTGTTCCGGTAATTTTATGGTTATATCCATTTTATATATAATTATGTCGCTAAGTAAATCTTCACAAATAATAATCAAAGTTTTATTGTTCCCAAATGTGACTAATCGAATACGAGGGATGTGTTTGGGAATAATAAATTTTATAGTTTGCACAGAAATGTAAAAATACACTAGAGAAACTAAAAGATAGAAGTACATCATAGATGGAGCGTTGGCAAACCGACTGCTACACCACGTTCACTAGTTAGGGAAGGAAGCTAAATCTGTGTTGAAATTCAAGAAGGTACTTTTGAGAGACTGTGGTGACCTGAGCTGCAGGGAAAACTATTGTCTTCACTGCTGTGGAACCTCGGATAAGTAGATGACTTGGTAAATTGAACAACAAGGGAAGGGAACATACAAGCAAGGTCTTGAATATTGCTCCATTATGAAAATATAAGCAAAAAGTAAATATGTCTCCCGAAATTAATCGTACCAACGTTTAGCTACACCCAAACTGCTGCATTTCTCAGAAGAATTAAAATATCTTGTTCATTTTAGATTATAAATATTTATTAGAAAACGGCAGCTAAACATATTAGCCAGATTGGTTCAGCGAAAAGCAATTTCTTTGCAAAAGCAAAGAAATTATGAGATGATTACTTGATAAATATTGCGCTGGCTAAACGTATCTCCCTAATCTAGAGAAGGATTACAGAGTCGCTTGTTTCTTAGTAGGTAAGAGAAACAACAGGAACCCCACCTACATAGAGAACCTATTAAAATCAGACTTGAAATTTGACTCCTTTTCGCTTCGTAATAGAGGAGAAGTGACTGTGATAGTCCCCTTCATGTTGTCGTATACATCAAAGGAAATTTATACAGACCTGGGTAGAATAATACAAAAAAATCATACCATGTGCTACCTAAATTCAATTTCTAGCTTGAAGTTGGAGGTGTGGAAATGGAGGTGTCATAAAAGGAGCATACTTGTAGCNCAAAAGCAAAGAAATTATGAGATGATTACTTGATAAATATTGCGCTGGCTAAACGTATCTCCCTAATCTAGAGAAGGATTACAGAGTCGCTTGTTTCTTAGTAGGTAAGAGAAACAACAGGAACCCCACCTACATAGAGAACCTATTAAAATCAGACTTGAAATTTGACTCCTTTTCGCTTCGTAATAGAGGAGAAGTGACTGTGATAGTCCCCTTCATGTTGTCGTATACATCAAAGGAAATTTATACAGACCTGGGTAGAATAATACAAAAAAATCATACCATGTGCTACCTAAATTCAATTTCTAGCTTGAAGTTGGAGGTGTGGAAATGGAGGTGTCATAAAAGGAGCATACTTGTAGCCAGCGATTCTCAAACTTTTCTCAACATGGAGCCCCTATCAGTCAAATATAGAAGGACGGAGCCTACCTTTCTAGTTTCGTCACAGATTGTTTCATGGTAGGTACTGCGTAGACGCCGCCGAGTTTTAAAAATACACGTGTCGAAATAACTAATACAGTTATTAAAAAATTTAAAATTATAACATTTTTGGAGCCCAGATAATTTTAACAGTATCCTACGTTCCCAGTGGAAGGAAGCGATACTTTTAAAATTTTTGGGGGAGGGGGGATCGGTGGCTTTGAGTAGTTTTAATATTAAGGATAATCAGTAACAACATAAATCTTTAGTTATTAGCTATTTACATATTTACAATGAGATTAATGTGACGAATGATGTACTTTGTTCGCACATATTTCTTTGATATTTGGCTTTATTGAAGAGAGTTGTAACTTTATATCTGGTTCAGCATCCAGCTAACCGCTGCCAGTTGGCACTGGCGGAGCCCCTCCATTCCTCCGGCGGAGCCGTGGGGCTCCACGGAGCACACTTTGAGAAACGCTGCTTGTAGCTATTAGTTGACATAGAAACATACCAAAGATCGAGCTGGATAGTGGAGTAGATACATTCAGTGAGGTGTTAAATTCTTTTCCGGAGGTGTGGAATACTGCATTTTGCAAGAGAAACTGATATAAGAATTTAAACAGGCAAATCTAGTACTCTTACAGACAGTCAGACGTATCTGAAAGCGAAGGCGAAGGTAAGACGTTTGTTAAAAACAAATTTTTCAAACGATAACTAACTGTTCGAAATGTGTGACATTTCAAAGCAATAATAAAAATTTATGTAATAAATAAGTATAGTTCAATTTGATTTAATACAACCTATGGTAATAAGTATAAAATGTAAAGTAAGTATAAAATTTTACTTAATACAAATATATACCCCTATTTATACACATTGTGTGTATTTCTACAAAGAAACTAAATTTATAAAGTGATAATTTTTGTGGGTTCTAATTAGCATGACTATCACAGCCTAGCTTATTTTGTGCATTACACCTGAACAGACCATATTTATTAATGTATTGATTTATTTATTATTATTCTTCAAGAGTGTCGATAAAGGACACTTTTCGAATAAAATTGAAGAATGTATCATCAAAAATATCGGGAGAGAATTTAAGAACGCAGTGTATAAAAGCTCTGAGAGAAACAATGGTAAATTATTGAAATGAAACGAATCAATAATATGAAAGTTATTTTAAGACCATTTATCAAGCTCTTTAATGGAAATGTTACTTAAAAGTGACTTTTACGCAACTAATCGCATACAAGAATGTCCGCTTAGAGAATTCACGGCTATTATTTTTTTTTGAGTTACAGCATACTACATTTTGTGCTGCTATGGACAAATATATTTGCATGAAATGAAAATTAAAAAGTAATTTACATGACACATGCACCATATTGTTCTTAATCGAGACGCAGATATCACATTTTCATATGTTAATGATCCTTTGTTACATTTATGTTTCATTATTGTTAATTGATGTACTATATTTACTTTCACTTGAACTAGGTATAGCCCAATTATCCAACATCAAATGTTCTGGTTTCTCATTGTAGAATTTTTTTGGCTACTTCTTTAGATAAACAGGAGGCAGGAGCCAGTAAACCCAGCTTTTGTCTCCCGTTATGATCCTTTGAATGAATGTTTCTCATCTTTGGATTGTTCAAGGAGTTGCCGACAAACGACCACATAATTTTTTTTCTACTGTTCGGTCATCAAACGAAGAACAAATTTTGCTGCAGCTTGATGCATGTTCAATGTTTCAGTCAAAATTTCATGGCATGACTCAATTGAGATGCTAACCTCTTCTGCAATTTCTCTGATCGGCGATTTGCACACACCAGATCTTTGACTTTCTGAACTTAGGAGTCAGCAGTCGAAGTCGAAAACCTTCCAAGTCGAGGATTATCGTCAATTGACTGACAACTACTTTTAAATTATGAAAACCATTCGTAACGTTGCGTACGACCCAGAGCATCATCTCCGTAAGCTTGTTTCAAAAGTTGAAACATTTCCGTGAAAGTTTGCCCAGTCTCTCGCACAATTTTATGTTGCATTGTTATTCCAGAAAAGCGTCACTAACACTTAAACATGTTGCACTCAAATCACCAAAACTAAATGAGATATCAACAATACAAGAACATGTGGCTACAGAGGAGGTTATGAGCAACGCAATACTGCCAACTGTATATCACTAAATATCTCCATTAGCGCGTAATTCAAAGAGTTCAGTATTTTCTGAACAGACCTAGTATTGACTGCTTTAATCGTATCTAATACAATATGGGTATCACTAATATAAAACCAGCTATAGAGGTCGCCTATTGTTTAGATCAGAGGTATTTAAAATCTATTTATTATACAGAATGTCCTCAAAAAAGGTATTGAATAGGAAAAACTCTTATTTTACATTTTATCGAAGAAAGTTACTCTTGTTAAAAAATTTTACTGGTTCTTAAATTAAGATTGGGATAGAAAAATTTTACATTTCTTGTACGGGGTGTTTAAAAAATTGAAAAACTTAAAATGGTACAAAAGTAAAGTGCATTTATTTGGAAAGATGTGGAAGTAAGCTACTAGGAAACGTTGTTCAAAAAAAGAAAAAAGCAGTCTCTAATACCAATTTTCGAAAAAATTATTCCAAATTAACAATTCACAAATTTTAAAAGTTTATT